GAGATGTATACAACTGCCAAGTTGACAAGGGATGGACTGTGATAGTTGGAGTTGTGTGTCAACTTGGCTGGACCACAATTCTGAGTGTTTTAAGCAGTTGTGATGTGAGTTATTTCCATGATGAGATCGGATGTGTATGTTTTGAGCAGCCAGTTGGTTGAAAGGGAGTTTCCCCAGGGGTGTGGCCTGGTTCCAATATATTTATGGACATCCTGGGATAAAGAGACACTCTTCTGTGGATCATGATCCTGTTGTGCTGCTTAAAACTGTCTGTGAGTGAACAATCCACCATTTGGCATGGAGATTCTTGGATTCATCATTCCCTTTTGTCAGCAGCTGGTACACCTCCTGCCAACCTTGAGCCTATCAGCCCCTACAATTGTGTGAGTCAGGGAAAGCCTCCAGTTTGATGTTTGATCCAAGAACTTGGGACTTGCTAGCTTGTACAAGTGTGTGAGCCATTTTCCTAAGATAAATTTCTCTTTCCCTCTCTGTCTTTATAAGCTTTACTGGTTTTGCTTCTCTAGAGAACCCAGCCTGACACAGAAACATTGTCTGATACAGTGCTGGAAGATGAGCCCATAAGATTGGAAGGCATTCAAAATACGACTGGAGAAGAGCTGCATCATCATCATCAAAGTAGAGTCGACCCTAATGACATGGATGGAATAAAGTTTTCAGGACCTTCATTTGCTGATGAGGCATGACTCAAAATGGGAAGAAACAGCTGAAAACATTTATTAATAATTGGAATGTGGAATGCACAAAGTGTGAATCCAGGAAAATTGGAAGCTGTTGAACATGAAAGGGAATGTATAAAGATTGATGTCCTAGGCATTAATGAGCTAAAATGGACTGGAATTGGCCACTCTGAATCAATCATTTAATCTACTATGCTTGGAATAACAAATTGAAGGGGAATGACACTACATTCTCATCATCAAAAAGAACATTTCAGTATCTATCCTGAAGTACAATGCTGTCAGTGATATGGGTAATATGCATACACTTACAAGGAAGACCAGTAACCACAACTATTATTCAAATTTATGCACCAAATATAAGGAAGCCCAGTTACCATGACTATTATTCAAATTTACACACCAGCCACTAAAGTCAAAGATGAAGAAATTGAAGATATTTATCAATTTCTGCAGTCTGAAATTGAACAAACATGCCAACAAGCTGCATTAATTACTGGTGACTGGGATACGAAAGTTGGAAACAAAGAAGCTTCAGTTGTTAGAAAATATAGCCCTGCTATAGAAATAATGCCTGAGATCGCAAGACAGAATTTCATTAGACCAACAACTTATTCATTGCAACTATCTTTTTCTAACAATATAAATGGTGGCTATACTTGTGGACCCCACCAGATAGAATACACAAGAGTCAAACTGACTTATCTGTGGAACAAGGCAATGGAGTAGTTCAATATCATTAATCAAAACAAGGCGAGGAGCTGACTGTGGAACAGACTATCAATTGCTCATATGCAAGTACAAGTTGCAGCTAAAGAAAAATAAAATAAATCCATGAGAGTCAAAATATGATCTTGATTACATCCCTCTTGAATTTAGAGACCATCTGAAGAATAGCTTTGATGCAATGAACACCAATGACCAAAGACCAGAGGAGCTGTGGGATGACATCAAGAATATCATAAATGAAGTAAGCTAAAGGTCATTAAAAAGACAGCAAAGGAAGAAAAGTACAAAAGAGATGTCAGAAGAGATTCTGAAACTTGCTCTTGAATGCAGAGTAGCTAAAGCAAATGCAAGAAATAATGAAATTAATTAAATCTTCACCCAAATCCTAATAAAAAAAAAAAGAAATAATGAAATTAAAAAGCTGAACAGAAATTTCAAAGGGTGGTTTGAGAAGAAAAAGTAAATTATTTTAATGAAATGCACAAAGACCTGGAATTAGAAAACTGAAAGGAAAGAAGAAGCTAGGCACTTCTCAAGTTGAAGGAACCAAAAAAAAATTCAAGGCTTGCGGTGCAATACTGAAGAATTCTGTGGGCAAAATACTGAATGATGTAGGATGCATCAAAAGAAGATGGAGGGAAATGTTCCTTCTACTTTTTGAGCTTGAGCAGGATTGGTTTTAATTCTTTAATTGTTTGGCAGAATTCCACAGTGAAGGCATCTGATCCAGGATGTTTTTGTTGATGGGAGGTTTTTGATTTTGAATCATTCTCTTCACTTGTTTTGAGTCTATTGAAATTTTCTATTTCTTCTTGAGTCAGTTTAGGTAGATTATGTGTCTATGTGGAAATTTTTCCATTTTATCTAAATTTTCATGTTTTTTGGCATACCATTGTTTCATGTGTTCCTTTCTATTTTATTTGTTATGTTCTTTTTTATTTCTATTGAGTCAGTTGTAATGTCTCCACGTTCATTTCATATTTTAGTTATTTGCACCTTCTGTCTTTTTTTGTTTGTCAAGCTAGCTAAAGTTTTGTTGACTTTATCGATTGTGTCAAAGAACCAACTTATTTAGTCAATATTGTGGTCTTAGCTTTAAAAATAAGAGCACTAGATGCTTAACTGAGTATTAAGGAACCATACTTGGTGATACACAAATACCAACCAGATTATTTTCTATCTTCAATCTTTTCTGTTTGTCTTTGGTCACTGATAGAGTATTATTTACATTGGATACTCTATGAAATCTACTAGTATTATTCCAATTGTACTAAGTATACTCATTTCAGTATCACTGGAACTTTAGACAGTAAACTGTGAATTCTATAACATCTTATCATTGATAAAGGTAAAATTTAAAGGAAACTATGAATAAGAAGGTGGCATATCCTTATTAGTCATGTACACCACACACCCTAATAGGACATTACTGAGGCATTAATGATGGTATTATATCCCCCTTCTAATTGGATGTCCTTATGAAATTAACCTGTAAGCAAAAAACAACTGTCCTATGTATAAAGCACACTTCTTCATGAACAGAAAACTTGAAAGCAAAAATCTGTGCCTCTAAAAAAATTCTCAAATTAATATCAACTTTAGACAAGTTCACATTACAGGAATGTGCAAAGAATTGAGTATTAACAATGTTAACTATTAACACTTTTCTGCAAAGTAATTTGACAATATGTATTAACACTTAAAGTATATAAGCATTTGACCTCATTCTGTTCATCTCTCAAATCTTTCTAAAATTATTTTTAACTATAAATATTCAGTAGGCAGATGTTGATCTAGCTTCTTATTTTTAAAGACAAATTCCTACTAATAGAATTATCATTACTATGAATGATATGTAGGATATTTATATGCATTAAAGTATTTATTTGCAATGTAAGTTTATGTATATGGGCTGATTAGTTTAATAATTTATTCAAAACTTCCTCAAAATAACGAGTTATGAACTATTCTGAATGCTATCTTTTCTGTATATTATGCATTGAACATTATTCTTTGTACTATTCATTTTTCTTTATCTTTCTCATTTATAAATATAGATGTAACCATTACAAACAAAAATATTTCAAAATGCAAATATAAGTCAACAGAACTTATATTACAAAACTAACAGAGACACTGGGTCATTATTTCAATTTCTAGCACCTGTGCATTATAGACACAAAAGAGATATGAGTGATCACATGCCACAATTTCAAAAAAAGTTTTAATTATTGTTTTCTATAGCCCAATACAGAAGATACTGGGGAAAAAAAGGCTTTTATGTGCTGACCTATTTATTCATATTCTTTTATTTCCCACTATCTTCAGTTTCTTTTTTTTTTTAATATACATTTTCCTTTCTAATTATATTCCTAACATACTGACCTCTGATATTCTAAGTTTATACTCACTACTAATTTAGTGAAAAATATTAATTGAAACCCTACTTACTGAGAATTTTGGTAATTCAGAAGCAGCTTCTAGTTTTCCCATCTATTCAAATATAGTACTTACAATAATGATACATATGTAAATAAAACACAGCATCAGCTTCTAGTTGTTTAAAATTTAGTAGCAGGAATGAGAAAAATATGCACAAGTGAAACCCTAAATCAAAGGAGTACCAGAAAAGTGTTATAAAAATGGTAAATGGGGAGACTATGTGACTATCTTTGTAGTATGTCCCAAAAGAAATACAAAAGTATGAGAACATTTCTTGTCCTTAAAATATCTGGACTCTTCTTATAAAGATAAGAGAGAAAACAATATGTAATGCTATAATAATAACAATGATACTAGTCAAAAAAATAATAACAACATTAAGTGAATAACAGCTTATCTCCTATTTCTCTGTGCCAGGCAGTTTATATATGTTATTATTTTAATTTTTACAATATTTATTTTACACATGACAACACTGATGTTAAGCATTTAATTTTTCCAAAATACATTAAGTAATGAAGCTTAAATATGAAATGATGTTTGCCTGATTTAAAGGTGCATGTTATTAACTTCTGTGTTACACTACCTCCAAAAAGGAGTTTAGAAAATTATATGAGAAATTTAAAGAGGATTGAAGTAGTCCTGTAAGAATTCACAAATGGGTTTCACTAAGAGTTAGATTCTTAATGAAGGGTTATAGTTTTAGATATGAAGAAGAAAGGAGGAGGATATTTTGGATGAGAAAAAAGCATGGGATTGACATGAATTAGAAGTTTCTTAATGCTCTTCTTCCATTTAAACTATATTTAAACTTTATGCTTGCTCCATAGTGAAGTTTTTATGGGCTATTTAAATTGTGAGAGAAGCCAATAATAGTATTTTTTCCTTTTCTTATATTAGCATGACTGTATTTGAATAGAACTAAGTTCAAATATTAAACAGGCATTAGAAAAATCATTTTGTGTGTGTGTGTACTTGGAGGAGAGACTAACCTTTTAGATTTTTCATGGATGTTAATGACAGACCATCACCATATTTTAGTCGGTCAAAATAATTAATGTAAGGTATTTTGGTTACTTTTAACATAAGTACTTTCTGTATTAAAGGCAAGGAAAAACATTAGCTTACCTTGAATTACATGTGAGTTGTCTTTCAAGAAGAAGTTATATAGGTATTTGGGAATAAAAGCAGACATACATGCATAAGCCAAAGCTAAGAGAGAATAAAACAAAGGCAGATAACAAATTAATGGGATAAATGACTAGCAGCCATTCACTCAGTAAGCATTCCTTGAGTTTACTCTTAAGTAACAATTATGATAATAAGTGTTGGAAAAGCAAAAATAAGGGGGAAAAAAGTCTGTGCTACATAAAACCAAAATATTCTGGACAGATAAGTTATAAACACTCTAAGAACTTTTCAGTTTCAAACTACTGTGGCACTCATTATTCCACAATAATAAAAGCTTTTATTACCTGTAATTTGTAAAACTGTTTCATCTCTAAACATGATCACAATCAACCAGCTATACAAATCTCATGATTCTTAGTACTGATACAAATAAGAATCTGAAAACTCTACATTTAGTAATGCTAGTCATAAATTATACTTTCAGATACAGATTCCTTACTGCTCTAGGATCAATATGTATGATAATGGACTATTCTTAACTAAGTATAACAAAAATTCTAGTCTGGACTAATGAGTAATATGAGAGAACAATGCATTTTGAAATAGTATACTTCATTTCTCAAGGATCATACTATCTCCACCTATGCAAATTCTAAAGCTATGAAAAAGAATTAGAAAAGATGGTTACTCTGGGATTGAGGTTTCCAGAGATTCATTCCATACATATTAACATGCTCTATGTGTAATATGGGAGCTCTGGTAGCATAGTGGATAAGACACTTCTGCTAACCAGACGGCTGGCGGTTCAAACCCACCAGCCACTCCTCGGAAGGAAGGTTGGGCAATCCTACTTCCGTAGTGATACTGCCTCGGAAACCCAAGGAGGGGTCGCTATGAGTCGGGTTTGACTCGACAGCACATAACAACAACAACAACATATGTAATATCATTAGTGATATAGGACTTGAGTCAATTTAATAAATATTTATTGAAGAGTCTTTTATAAAAAAAGCATTATAGTAGTAGAGAATAAAAAAAAAGAAACTATCATGAAAAAGCTACCAACTAAAATAAGGGTTACTATATTAAATAAAAGGACCTCTGGTGGCACAGTGTCTAAGGCATTTGACTGCTAATCAGAAGGCTGGTGGTTCAAACCAACCAGCCACTCCTCAGAAGGAAACTTGGGCAATCTACTTCCATAGTGATACTGCCTCAGAAACCCAAGGAGGGGTTGCTATGAGTCGCGTCTGACTCGAAGGCACATAACAACAACAACATATTAAATATAAGACAGATGCACGATTTCCTGAAATATTAAATATTGTTTGGGATCATAAGATAAATAAGAAATAAGAACAGTCCTCAATAAGGTGGCATTTGATATGGTAGGCTTTGGAGATACAAGATTAGGGGAAAATGCTGCCAAATTTATTTATTTATTCAAATTTAAAGTATACTGAGACTAAAATCTAATCAATTTATTTGGAAGTCAGAATTTTCTCTAAAATTTCACAAAAATAGTCACTAACAGAGGTAATGAACACATTTAGAATAATTGGTCAGTTTCTCCCAAAACTTCTAGTAACTTCTTGGTAACAAAAGAAGAGATCCAATAATGAATTAATTCTTAAAATCCTCTACAATCAGTCTAAGAGATTATTTCACAAAAACCTGCAGTATCTACCAGAGAAAATGCAAGAATCTTAAATTAAAAAGAAATCATTCATGTTTGAATAAAGTATTATAGAATAATAATGAACACAATGATTACTTAAATGAAAAGAGGCTTACCTTCATTATTAAAATTTAAATATAGGAATGGAGCACAAAGTGAGTCAAGACCTGGTGGTGGAAGAGGGGAAAGGTGTTCAATGAATATAATGAATATAAGTCAGTAGAACTATAGATAGATACCTTACTCAGGTCTCTGTATTACCTCTCTATGGACTGAACACTGTAAGCATAACCCACCCAGATGTGCATTTCCTCATGAGTTACTGTGATTAGTAAGTGACTGTGTTTGGCACCTAGTAAGTGCCCAATACAAATTAGTTCATATCATTATCAATATTGAGTGAAAGAGAGGAATACATTAATAGAGAACCTTACAAATGTTAGAATGCCTAGAATATGGTTCCATCTCTGACCCTACCTGTGTGATCTTGGCAATCATTTTACTATCTCTAAGTTTGTTTTCTAATTTCTAATTTATATGGAGATTTGCCTTACATGATTCTTTGGGATCACCAAAAAATAAATAAGTAAATAAAAATTCTCGAAAATTATGAAGTGAAATACAAACATACGAAGTGTTTCTTTTATTAATAATAATGCTGCTCATATGTTGTCATATTGAAAGACTGTACACATAATTATTAGGAAGATACAGAACTCTTCTAAAATGGACAGATCTAACAAAATATTACCATCATTTCAAATTTAGCCAGTGAGGAATCGACAGAGAACTGAAATGTAAGAATTACAATTCAAAATAACATATTCAAAAATAGGGCTGGGTAAAATAAGTTTCTTATTAATGAATTTATCAATAACCATGAAAAAATAATGTTAGCAAACGCTAAAAATCAAAGACCTAGGCATTAAAGTCACTGAAAAAAAAAAAAAGACAATAAAATAAACAGTTTTGGGAGGATCTACTATTCTCCAACACTAATGACCGTCATGAACATAAATTGGTGAATCATTAAATGTTAATCTCAACTAACCAAAAAATTATTTAAGGCATAAAACTGTTCTGTAATTTCCTTAAGTGTTGAAAAAAATTATCCACAAAGATTACAACAGCACCAAATACTCTTTATACTTTCCTAATTAATGTGATGGTAAGATGTCCCATTTGAAATGCCATGCATTTAAATTATGTCTAGTAAGTATTTGATGAAGTTTAAAAAAAGTTCTCATATAACCTTGCCCCACCCCACAAAATGAATCACAGCTTTAGTATTGATTTTTTTTTCAAAGCCACAGATGTTTTGCTATTTTAATTTGTAAAATTGTCAGTCATAGAATATCTTCTTAATACTAAAAGAGTCTTAATAAGTAGAGGAAGGGAAAGGTACCTTGCCAATACACAAGATCAGGATGAGACACTACCCAGGCTTTCAATACACGTCTAAATTTGGCATGACCTTCTGGTGATGATAACAGTTCATCATATTGATGACATCGAGGAATATCTACTTCAATCTGTAAAATACCAAAATAATATGGTGGAACTAGAACACAGTGGTCTCTTAAAAAGCACAAGGAAGGAGATACTATAACATGAATTTCAAAACAGATCACCTTCCTATTCTTGGTACCAAAAGTTTTTGAACTTTATATTAATTTTCTAAAAACACCAAAGAATTCTTGCTGTTGTTGTTGTTGTTATGTGCCATAGAGTCAGACCGGACTCACAGCAACCCCTCCTTGGGTTTCCAAGGTGGTATCACTACGAAAGTAGATTGCTCAGCCTTCCTCCGAGGAGTGGCTGGTGGGTTTGAACCACCAGCCTTCTGGTTAGCAGTCAAGTGTCTTAGGCACTTCGGTACCAGAGTCCCCTGTACTTAAACAAGTAAACAGACCATTTCAGTCTTTGAAAAAGTCATTCATTAATACAGTTTGAAGTAATATCTTCCTTTACAACTAGCCTAAATACAGGACAAATTCTTTAGGTGAAAATTATAATTATTAAAAAAAAAAAAACTTATTTGACTTAAATTTCTTCAAGGAACAGTTCTAACTCAATAATTTATTAGCATAAGAATTATGCTTATCCTAACACCATAAATATATGACAACTGCTAAATATTCAAATTAAAAGCAGAAAATTTTCTCATGCTTTCTATAACTTAAAACTTTGGGTTTCTATAACAGAAATTTGGCTTTCTATAACTTAAAGAATTATCTTAGATTGCTAAAAAAAATCAAAATCTTACCTGTCTGTCTGTAGGAATTGGAGTGTCTTTATCAATTGCATCATACTTGGCATGAATAGCCCCCTACAAAAAAATCAAAAGATATATTAACTCTTAATAAATTCCTAATGTATTCAAAATCTATAGCTATCTATCTGTATATGTGTATATATATATATATATATATATATATATACATATACACACACACATACA